TTCTGGCACTGAATGTTCCACAGCTATTCCAAATAGCATAGTCTGCTCACAGGGTAGAACTGCCTCAGACTAGAACTGTCACACAGGCTAGAACTGGGAAAGTACTACCCTTTGGGGCACTTCTATTCTGGGCAAGTTTCACCTTGTGGGCAGGAGCAATTCTACTCTGTGGGGAGCCCAGGTGGGGTTTCATCTCCATGGATGGAACTCTCAGGGTCCTGGAAGTGTAAGCCACCGTCAACAGCCCCAGTAATCCAATGTCCCTGCTCAGAGTTGGAGTTGGGAACTGGCAGGGGGTGGGGGGGTCGGTACATGGAGTCTGAGACGTTTCAGGCAGCCCCCTGATCTCCCAGAGATGAAAAACCTCAGGGGTATCTGACTTTGTTCTGTGAACTAGTGGAGTCCGAGGAGATGGTGGTCCCTGAACCACAGGAAAGCTGCCACCACATTCCCTCCAAGTTCAAGGTTACCCAGAGACTTAACAATGTAGCCCCAGCAAATGTTGAGTTGTATGTATTTTTGCGACGATAGTAGGAGCAGAGGTTGGATCCTGAGAGGTTTCATCCATAGAGATGAGTCCCTGTGTGGGCCCCGCCCTACCCAAAGCCACTTCAGTTTCAGCCCAAAGGCCCGGTCTCTGTAAAACACAGACAGTTATTTCTGGCTCACAATATAGGTAAAGCACGGGGTTAACGAACAACACGAAATCCATCCGTTGCCACATTTCAGCTCCTGTGGCCCCATGTGTTACAGAGCAACCTGTATGGACTCAAACCCCTGCCCTTCTTCCACCAGTCTTAGGTTAGTTGTGGAGTGCAAACTGTGTGGGCCACCCAGACACCATGATGGGCCAGGTGTTTTCTACAATCTGGACCAGGTCTCAGCACCCATTGTTGGCCCTTGAGGGCCAGAAGGGCCAGGAGGAGGTGGCTGGACGAATGTATCCAGAGATTTGGGGGTTAATAAGTAACAGGCAGGGAGGACAGCCCAGGAGAGGGTGGAGCTCTGTCCACAGCTTCCAGACCTGAATATCCTGGCCTCCTCCCACATGCCCGCCCAGCCCCAGCATCAGACAACCCCATTTCTCAGAGCAAGAGAGAGAAAGTTCACAGGGAGGTGAGTGTGGGGCCTGAGTCTGTGGGGATCAGGGCTGAGGGACCATTTCCTGTCAGGGGGTCCCTGTTGGGTAGACCCCAAGGACAGCTGAGGCAGGAGGGCTCTGAGTGGGAGTTGGAGACACAAGGCTGCTCCACTCTCCCAATATTGCTTCTCACTAGTGCTGTGTGGCCTTCTCCAAGTCACTCAACCTCTCTGGTTAGGTGGGAAGAACCCTCAAAACCCACCAGGTGAGGGTGGAGGTCCGATCCTAGACTGTGAGGCAGAGGCTTGGACTCAAGCCCAGATTTGTCCCCACATCCCCGGTGACCTTGAGTGGGTCTTTGCCCTTCTCTGATTCAGTTTCTGCTTCTGCTCAGAGGCTGTGGGGGAAGGCAGGCTCTGAGCCTAAGAACACGGTTATATAGCCCTCCCCCAGCCCCTCATCACACTGGGTCATGCTGGCTAGGAAGAGGGTGCACTCCAGGGAGGACAGTGTGGGGAAGGGCAGGCCATCAATAGCTGGGTCAGGGCCTGGGTCACAATGGGGCTGGCTGGAAGAACAGTGCCACCTGCTGTTTGGTGGCAGGAGATGCAGCCACCTGCTAACCCTGCAGGCACCCTGCAGGAACCAAGCTGGGATAGGGTCCCAGGGACGCAGTGCCACTTAGGGATGCTCATGCTAACATTTCAGTGCTCTCCCGCTGAGAACTTTTAGTTGGATCCCATGCCAGGCTAGCCTTCAGCATGGGGTGGGGGTGGGGCACATCAGACTACAAACCAAACCTAAAACCTAAAAACCAAATCTATTGTGGTCTAGTTGATTCTGGGAGTCCTGGTGTGGCGCTGTGGGTTAATGCGCCAGAGTGCAAAGCCGTTTGAACTGCAAGGTTGGCGGTTCAAGCTCACCAGCTGCGCCTCAGAAACCCTATACAGGGTCGCTATGGGTTGGAACCGACTTGACGGCACTTTACAACAACAAAATTGATTCTGACTCATTCTAACCCGACAGGACAGAGTAGAGCTAACTGCCCCATAGGGTTTCCAAGGCTGACATCTTGGAAGCAGACTGCCACCTCTTTCTCCAAAGGAACAGCTGGTGGGTCCAACCTTTATGTTAGCAGTGGAGAGCTTTTGCCATTTGCCACCAAGGCTCTCTACTGCCAGGCCAGCCTGGGATGGGTGAAGTGCAGCCCTGCCAGGTCCTAACCCTCTCTGAACCTCGGATTCCTTATGGAGGAAAAAGGAACAAACAGGCCCTGTGTTTCAAGGACATAATGTTAGAATGGAGTCTTCGTGTGGCGCTGTGGATTAATGCACTGGACTATGGTCGGTTTGAACCGCAAGGTCGGTGGTTCAAGCTCACCAGCCACTACTCAGAAACCCTATACAGGGTTGCTGTGGGTCAGCACTGACTCAATGACAAAATTATAACACAAACCCCTGGTCCACCTCCCAGGATCAACAAGTGGCTGCCCTCATACACATGAGGGTTTGGGGGTCTTCGGGTCTCTTGCTGTGACACAGAATTGGTTAGAAATGCAGCCTTTTACACCCACCCAGACGCACTGACCCAAAGACTCAGGTGAGTCGTGGGCAGGTAAACTGAGAATGGAATTCTAATCCAGTGTTCAGTCTTAGACTGGTCTGTCGCTAAACCACTCCAAACCTAAATACCTCGTGTCTCTGGGGTCGGCAGTCTTGTCCAGGGGGTCCCAGCTTCCCCTACACCTTTCTGGGCCCAATGATCTTCGCCCCTGTCCCCAATCTTGGCAGCACCTCTCTCCCCACAGCCACTCTCCCTACCTGCTGGGAAGAGAGATCACTCAAGGCCACCAACGTGCTTCTACATCCAGTTTATATACAATATACAGAAACCCCTATATACAGAGAGATTTATAGAATAAGCTATATTACTTTGTCTCTTCTTTTTACAGCAATATTAGTTTGGATCTTTCATACATTAAGTACAAAAAAGTCACGGGAGAATGGCACGTTGAGAGCGTGTGGGTCTGGGCCCGGCCGTTTCTCTCCCGATTGCATATGGAGGATGTCCAGGCCCTGGGGGACTGGCCGGCGCGCAGCTGGGCACGCTTGTGCTGCGGGCCTGGGGGATGCAGTGGGGGTCGGTCTGAGTCGAGTTGGGTTGGGGGGTGGCTCAGACCCCCCAAGTGTGGCAGGGAAGAGGAGCAGCAGGCCATCCTGCAAGGACCAGTGGGTGTGGAGGGGGCAGGGGGTCCTGGGGTAGACCGCCCTGGGGCATCCAGGGCTGAGGCTGAGCCTGTCCCAGCCCCAAGCCTGTAACGCTTTGTGGCTGCAGCCTTGGGGTGGGGGTGGGGTCTGTCCCTGATGGCTCAGTCCTGGGTATGGGTGGTCTCCACACCCCCCTGAGAGGCCTCAGGAACTGCCCTGGTAGAGGACAAATTAAAAGGCCAGTCCCCGTCTCTCCCTGCTGCTGGCCGGGTGATTGTGGAACTTGATTGGGATTTAAGGTTGCATCTGGTTTCTTAAACTCTACAAGTCACTGATTTCATCTTACTCATGGGCTGGGCTGAGGTGGTCCCAGTAGCAGAGCCATCAGCAGGAACAGGGTGTCCCTGGGGACTGATGAGGAGTGAGTGGAGGCCCAGCTCCCAGTTCCCATCTGTCTGGTGGGCCCTAGGGCAGCCCTGCGGGCAGTTCCCAGCTGCCTGGAGGGGGTGCATGGAGGAGGGGAGCTTGGCTAAGGAGGCGGGGCCAGCGTGGGGTCGTACCTCAGAGGAAAAGTCTGCGCAGCAGGTGCGCCATGCCTGGGCACACAGGCCGAATGTTAGAGCAGCAGGCACACAGGGGCACTGAGATTGAGCTGTGCCCCGCCCCGCCCCCCCCCTGGCCCCCATCATGGCTCTGGCGGGAGGGGAGGGGACGTCCCAGACCCCTTAGGCAGGGATGGTGGGATGGTGCACACATGCACACATACGCCCCCCCCCACGCGTAGATACTCTCCCCACCCCCCAAGCTGGGTTCTCCCTGGAAACCCGTCAGGGCAGGAACCCCTTAGGTGAGGGCTGTGGAGACGAGACTGTGGGGGTGGGGAGTGGTGGAGTGAAGGGGCAGTCCAGGCATGGGGTTTAGGTAAAAAGGGGCTATGTAGCCAGGGGTAGGCAGATCAGTACCCTCCACCCTTCCAGTGCCCAGGCTCCTTGGGGCAAAAGGAGAGCCAGGAAGCAGCAGGTAGGCTGGGTACCGAGGACCCATCCAAAGAGGGGCACCCACAGAGAAGGGGTGGTTCCCAACCCACCCTCCTCGTCACAAGGGCCAGTCTTAGGCCCCATAGGGTGGCCCTGCCCTATGCAGAGGGGTTTGCTGAATACATGATTCCTAGTGGGGGGGGGCATGTCCTGAGCCACGCCCAGCAGTTCCTGTAAACATATACAGCACTGTGGGTGTCCTTGGAGGGGTCACCCCGGGGGGCTGGACGGCAGGTTCTAGATCTGGGGGATGGCCAGGGCAGATGGCAGCCTGGGCCATGGATGAGTGTGGGGGGAGGGACTGCTCTCCTCCCTTCTTGGCCCTGAGAGGGCAGTGACGACGACCGGGCACCAGCCTGCCCCCTGCCTGTCCCAGAATGTGAGTGCCCCAATGCCCCCGTGGGGGGCAGTCAGCCTGAGAGAGCTGGGTGAGGCCCTGCCTTTCCTGGCAGGTTGGTGCCAGGTTCCTCCCCTCTGTCCCCTTCCCCGTCACCCCCATCCGAGGGACTCAGGGGTCCTAAGCTGAGGTAGGGATGCTGGCCCCCAGCTCAGCAGCAATGCCCCGTGCCTGGGGGGACAAGTGACCCTGAGGGGTCTCTCCTCAAAGATGCCCAGCCAGGGGCCACGCAGCCACCTGTTCTGTCTGGGGTCTCGGCTGGCAGCCACTCCTGGGAGCTAGCGGGCTGAGATGACCAGGTCCTCCTGCTTGGCGGGACTGGCCCCAGGCCCAGTGGGAGTGGAAGTCCGGATCGTGTCGACCGCCAGGCACTCCTGGCTGCTGAGGCCCGTGGGTGTCAAGTCCATGAGTTCACCGGAGGAGCTGAGGGGGAAGGAGGGAGACAGCGAGATGCCTGAGGAAGGGTCGGCTGAGCCGGCGAAGAGCCGAGGGGGCTTGGGCACCAGATTGGGCTCGAACTGGGCTCGGAGCAGGATCTCCTGCTGGCTGGGGGACTTGGGACCCTCGGCATAGTCGCTGGTGGGGCTCTCGGGCACCACCACGCAGTACAGGTCCTGGAAGGAACTGCTCTTGCTGTCCAGGTTGAAGAGGCTGTCGATGAACTCCGCAAACTCCAGCACTTGTGGGCTGGGTGAGTCTCCCAGGCGCCCATTATGCAGGGCCAGCTCCCCTTGGGGGGTGACCCTGCCACCCCCCTCCTCTTGCTGGCTGGGGGCGGCTGCTGCAGCACTGGGGGGCCGCTCAGGTGAGGCGCCCCCACTGCCCAGGGCTGCCTCCAGGGGCTGGGTGTCCTGCGAGTGCTTGGACAGGCTGTCGGCGGCCAGCAGCTCGGTGCGTGAGCTCAGGGACGGGTTCTCCTCGGGGATGGCGGGGTCGATGTAGAAGAGGTGGCCTTCATCCCGCTCCAGGACGGCGTGCAGGCTGGGCGAGCCACGGATGCTACGGAAGCCGGACGAGCGGCGTGAGTCGAAGCTGTACAAGGACTCGGTGTCAGACAGGCTCTCCATGGTGGCCAGCGGTGCCCGTCGGGCCTGCAGCTCTGCCGCCAACCGCTCCTGGGTGGACAGGAGCAGCAACTCCACTGGGTCCTGGCGGGCTGCGGCCACGGGGGACAGTAGCCGACCCTCAGAGAAGCCCTCCAGACTCATCTCAGACTGTGATTTGCTCCTATGGGAGAGGGGTTGGAGGGCATGAGACTCAGCAGGCCAAGAGAAGGAACTTGAGGGTGGGGGTCCAGCTCAGTCAGGGGTTGTCAAGAGGTGGGAAACCTTTATTTAAAAAGAACTCACAAGAAGCCAGGATTGCTTCTTGTTGAGCCAGGGTGGGGGCCCGGCTGGGAGCATTGGGACTCCAGGAATACCGCTAGCCCCACCATCTCTGTACCTGACTATGGCCCAGTGAGGAGTTGGGACTGGTCCCTGAGGCAATGGCTGAATGGGAGAGGGAAGGCTGAGCAAAGGAAAGGGGAAGAGGGATAGGATCCCCAGAGCTGCCCCCCAGGTTTCTTCCCAGCCCTAGGGCAACCCCCGACCCTTCCTTCCTTATCTGGACTCCTCTCCCTCTCCCATGGACGACAGTCCTCTGCTGGACAGGTGGCAGTTCTGACTCACGACAAGATGACCCTCCCTGTATCAGGGAAGAACTACGCTCCACAGGATTTTCAATGGAGGGAGCTCCCCCAGGTCTTCCTTCTGAAGGGTCTCCCGGTGGACTCCAACATCTATTCTTTTGATTAGCAGCTAATTGTGTTAACTATTTGCACCACCACTCGTCTGTCAGTTTGTCGTACTGTGGTGGCTTGCGTTTGCTGTGATGCTGAAAATCTAAGTTACCTGTATTTTAAATACCAGCAGGCTCCCCCATGGGAAGTAGGTTTCAGTGGAGCTTCTAGACTAAGACAGACTAGGAAGAAAGACAGACTACCTCTGAACGTTGAGCCACTGAAAGCCTTATGACCGGCAGCAGAACACTGTCAGATCTGGGGCCTGAAGATGAAAATGTGAAGAGCACCAGATTATTGTCAGATACAGAAGATGAGCCCCTCAGGGTGGAAGGCACTCCAAATACAACTGGGGAAGACCTGCCTCCTCAAAGTAGAGTTGACCATGATGACACGAAGTAAATGAAGGAAAACTTTCAGGATCTTCATTGGCTGATGGGGCACAACTCAAAATGAGAAGAAACCTCAACAAACATTCATTAACAATAGGAATATATAATGTATGAAGTATGAATCAAGGAAAATTGGAAATTATAAAAAATGAAATGCAATGCATAAAGGTCAATACCCTAAGACTGCAATTAGCTGCTTTGAAGCTGACAAGCATATGCTTTACTATACTGGGAACGGCAGATTTATGAGGAATGGCATCACATTCATCATCAAAAAGAGCATTTCAAGATCTTGAGATAGAACACTGTCTTTGATAGGATAACATCCATGTGTCTATAAGAAAGACCAATTAATACCATTGTTATTAAAATGTACACATCAACCACCAAAGCCAGTGATGATGAAACTGAAGAATTCTACCAACTTCTTCAGTCTACAGTTGATCGAACATGCAATTAAGTTGTATTGGTAAGTATTGGGGATTGGAATACAAAGGTTGGAAGCAAAGAGGAAGGATCAGTCTTTGGAAAATATGGCCTTGGTGATAGAAACAATGTTGGAGATCACATGATAAAAAAGTTTGCAAGACTAATGACTTCTTTATTGCAAATACTTAAAAAAAAAAAGATATCTATACACCTAGACCTCACCAGATGGTATACACAGAAATCAAATCGACTATATCTGTGGAAAGAGATGGTAGAAAAGCTCCATATCATCAGCCAAAACAAGGCCAGGGGCAATTGTGGTACAGACCATCAATTGCTCATATGCAAATTCAGACTGAAGCTAAAGAAAATTAAAACGAGTTCACGCGAGCCAAAATATGACTTTGAACATATCCCACCTGAATTTGGAGATCATCTGAAGAACAGATTTGATGCACTAGACTCTAATGACCAAAGACCTGAAGAGTTGTAGGATGACATCAAGGACATCATATAGGAAGAAAGTAAAAGTCGTTAGAAAGGAAAGACCAGATGGATGTCAGAAGGGACTCTGAAATTTGCTCTTTTGACCATAGAGAAGCTAAAGTGACTAGAAGAAATGAAGTAAAAGAGCTCAAGAGAAAACATCAAGGGCAGTTCAAGAAGACAAAGTATTATCATGAAATGTGCAATGATCTCAAGTTAGAAAGTCAGAAGAGAAGAACCTGCTCAGTATTTCTCAAGCTGGAAGAACTGAAAGGCACAGAAAGCATCCAGAGAAGATAGAAGGAATACCCAGAGTCACTGAACCCAAAAGAAACAGTTGATGTTCAGCCATGGTAACAGCTAGCATGTGCTCAAGAACCGATGGTATTGAAGTAAGAAATCCAAGCTGCATAGAAGGTATTGGTGGAAAACAAGGCTCCAGGAATTGATGGACTACAAACTGAAATCTTTCAACAAACTGATGTAGCACTAAAGGCACTCACTCATCTAGGCCAAGAAATTTGGAAGACAGCTACTGGCCAACTGATTGGAAAAGACTCATATTTGTGCCTATTCCAAAGAAGTGACCTATATGAAACAGAGAAACTATAGAACAATATCAATATTACAGGCAAATAAAATTTTGCTGAAGATGATTCAAAAACAGCTTCAACAGTACCTCCAGAAACCTGTGGACCTAGTGATATCATTGCTGACGTCAGATGGATCTTGGCTGAAAGCAAAGAGTACCAGAAAGATGCCTCCTTGTACTGTATTGAGTATGCGAAGGCTTTTGACTGCATGGATCAAGACAAGCTATGGACAACATTGCAAAGAATGGGCATTCCAGTGTTCATGAGGAGTCTGTATATAGACCAAGAGGCAGTCATTAGAACAGGACAAGGAGATACTGAGTGTTTTCAAAAGCAGGAAAGGTGTGTGCCACGGCTCTATTCTTTCACCATATTTATTCAGGCTGTTTGCTGAGCAAATAATCCAAGAAGCTGTGTTATATGAAGAACAACATGGCATCAGGATTGGAGGAAGACTCATTAACAATCTGTAATAAGCAGATGACACTACCTTGCCTGCTGGAAGCAAAGAGGACTTGAAATACTGATGTCCAAAGACCACACCTTTCAGTATGGATTGTACCTCAATGTAAAGAAAACAAAAATCCTCACCACTGAACCAATAACAAATATTATGATAAATGGAAAAAAGACTGAAGTTGTCAAAGACTTCATTTTGCTTGCATTCACTATCAACACTCATGAAAGGAGCAGTCAAGAAATCAAATGGCATAGTGCATTAGGCATATCTGCTGCACAAGTCATCTTTAAAGTGTTCAGGAACCAAGATGTCAGTTTGAGGACTAAGGTGCGCCTGCCCCAAGCCATGGTATTTTCAATAGCCTCGTATGCATGTGAAAGTTGGACAATGAATAAGGAAGATCATAGAAGAGTTGATGCATTTGAGTTATGGTTTTGGAAGAGAATATTGAAAGTACCATGGCCTGCCAGAAGACCAAACAAATCTGTGTTGGAAGAAGTACAGACAGAGTGTTCCTTAGAAGCCAGGATGACGAGACTTCACTTCTCATACTTCAGACCTATTAACAGGAGGGACCAGTCCCTGGAGAAGGACTTGGTAAAGGGGAGGTTCAGCTAAAGAGGAAGACTCCCCCCCACCCACCCCCAAGTGAGATGGACTGGCACAGTGACAGCAGTAATGGGTTCAAGTGTAACAACTGTGAGGCTGCCATAAGACCCAGCAATGTTTCATTCTGTTGTGCACAAGGCCACTAGGAGTCTGAACTGACTAGACAACACAACACCTAACAACAATTTGTACCACTCAGGGACTCCAGAGGTACGAGCACTAGCTCTTTGACTCTTTCGCTCCTTAATCCAGTGTGCAGGGATGCGGAAAGGGCAAGAGTGGGTGGGTGGGTGCTGGGCACTGGGGCTGTGACAGAGCACTGGCTCCCTCCTGTGGTCACTTTGAAAAATGCAGGGATGTGGAAAAGGCAAGAGTGGGTGGGTGGGTGCAGGGCACTGGGGCTGTGACAGAGCACTGGTTCTCTCCTGTGGTCCTCTGGCCACTTCAGGAAGCACACGACAGTAGGAGGTGGTCCAGATGTCCTCTCCATGGGCTGGGAACCAGCGAGGACCCTTGGAGCTCCCCACTGCCTTCTCAGCAGCCTTTCAGCCAGATCCTCCCTTAAGGACACCCGCTCTGGCCGTGTGTTTGCCGGGGAAGGCGGGGGTGCCAAAAAAGGCAGAAGGTGCCTCCCCCTGGGGAGCCATCACTTAAGAGCCTGAGCCCCCAAAGAGCATGTGTGACTGGGGGGGGGGGTCTCACAGGTCCTGTGCTTGTGTACACAGCATGCACGTCAGGTGGTCACATGAGTGTGCATCTGGGCACAGGTACACACGTCAGCCTGTCCTAGCATGTCCTTTTGTGAACAGGCTGGTCTCAGTGCTGCCTGTCTGTTGGGAGCTACCTGTGTGCTTGTGACCAATGTTAACGTGTGCACATGGCTTTGCAGGTGTGAAGTCCAATGTAAGCACTGCAAACCTGGCAGTATAAACCCACCCGGAAGGGCCTGGGAAGAAGGTCTGCTTTGAAACGCGATCGGCCCTGAAAACCCTATGGATCTCAATTCTACCCTCGATGTGTCTGTGTGTGTCCATCTGTCTGTACTGACCTGGATATGAATCAACCTGTGTGTGTGCATGTGTGTGTGTGTGTCTGGGTCTACGTGCACTTGGATGTCCTGAGACACGACCGTCGGCAGTAGGGCAGGGGCAGCAGGGTAGGGGTGGGGGGAGCCCACCGCTGGCACCTGTGCGTGCAGAGCTGCGTGTTCACACATGGACCCTGCACGTACACGGACACTGCGCAAGCAATGCGCATGCGCTCTGAGCACTCACGCACGCACCTGACGCTGCTGTTGCGGCGGTCTGCGGGCGGGAGCTCCAGGGCCAGGCCGGCGGGCAGTGGCGGCCCCGTGGGCAGCGGCTGTTGCTGGAAGATGAGCTCGGGAGTCAAGTCCACTTCCGTGGGGCTCACCATGACCTTGGCAGCAGACAGCAGGGCCGTCTTCCCCTTGTTGTAGTTCTCCAGCACCTGGAGACACAAAGAGGGGAAACTGGTGGTGGAAGGGGGTCGGCAGCACAGCCACTGTCCCCGACCCTCAGGTTCCTGTCCTCAAGGAGTCCTCCCTTCCTGTGTCCACCCTGCAGCCTGGTAATAGCAGAGCCTGCCCATGCTTGGCTATGCATATTCTGGGTGAGGTGGTTTCCAAAACCCCTGGGCCCAGCTTGCCGCAGAGGTGCGTCTCTGGGTCCTCAATGCTCTAACAAGGCAATGGGGCGATGTAAGAGCCCAGGGCAGAGTCCAAGGGCTGAGTGTGTGGCTCACCTTGTTGAGACCTTCCATGACCACATAGGGGAGGTGCTCATGCAGCATGGCCGGTGAAATGGTCACCTCATTGAAGGCCTTGTTGTCGCCCCAGATGGCAAAGTAGGTGGGCTCCTCTTGCTCACAGCAGCTGAGGGGCACAGGAGCCAGAGAGGCGGGGGCTGGGGTGCAGCCCGGCCCTGGCTCTTTTGTCTGCCCTTGCTGGGAGGGGAAGGGGTGTACTTGGGCTTCTGGCCCACCCCTGCCTGGGATGTTGGTGTTGCCAGGTGGAATGTGGAAAGGTGGCCCTAGGGGTCAGGCTGGCCTGTCAGGGGAGGCAGCCCACTCTGGGGAACGGGGTCCAGGGCCCACCCTTAGGAGTTCATGTGGTTGTCCATTCATCCCCACTCCTAGTCCATGCTGGCCAGAGCCTAGGGTAGCTCAGCACTTTAGGGTGGACCACAGTGGACGGAGCTGCCGTGCGGGGGTGAGAGGGAGGGGACATGGACCACTGAGGGACTGAGCTCGGGAGCAGAGGTCGGGGCTCAGGAAGTCCTGACTAGGCTGACCTTTGTCCCCTTCCCGGATGGAAGGAACCTGGACTATCCACCATCTCCCAGCCCAGAGGGGCAAGTGCCCACAGCCAACCCTGCTCCTCCCACCTGGATGCGGGTATAACCCACCAGCACTGCTCAGCGGGGTGATTGTGGACCACGTGGATGATGCGGCCGGGGGGATAGAGAGGGGTGCTGGCTGACAGGGCGATGGTGAGGTCGCTGGGGTGCGTCCAGAGCCGTGTGCTGGCCAGGGTGGTCACTTCTACTTCCTCGGGTAGCTCCGACTTGGGGATGCACTTGGTGGCCCCCACGATGATTCGCCACTGTGCGGGGGTGGGAGGAGATGGGGACAGGAGGACAATTAGAAGCCAGGACATGTGGGGGCTGGGCAGAGGGGAAGGGCCACCGGAAGAGATGGAGGCTGAGATGATGACCACAAAGATGCCAAGAGTAGAGGACAATCGGGTGGGAAGTGGCTGGGAGACCAGGTATCCCCTGACCTAGTGGATGATGGGAAATAGGCCTGGCTCGAGGTCATTCTGCCTGTCAACCCCCCAGGCCTGGCCCACTGGGCCCAGAGGTGAGTCTACAGGCAGTCTTCCCTCCCCGGGGTCAGCCCCCCAGCTGAGACTGTCCCCCAGGCTCAGCGCCCTGCTCTCTCCCCAGCCCCTGGCATTTGGGACCCCAACCCCAGGCAGTAGCCATGAGCGAGAACCTGTCTGGGGGTGACCCTCAGAAGACCAGCTGGTTCACATTTGCTTCCTCCTGGCCATGGGGCAAGCTCCCAGAGCTCTCCAAAGGCCCGCTGGGGGTTGGGAATAGCCAGCCCTCTCCTCAGCCTTCCTGAGTGGGTGGGGTCTTGTAGGCCTGGGGAGAGGTGTCCCTCACACTCAGAGGCCTGAGCCCCAGGGATGCGAGCTCTGGGTGACTGAACTAGGGCTTAGGAATCCTTGGTCCCCATTCTGACGCAGTTATAATGTGCAGGGGGCGTGAAAGCAAATGTCCTGTCTAGCCTAGGCCTCAGTTTCCCCAGCTGTGCAGTGATGGGGCTGGAGGGAGTAAGGGCTGAGCCACTGAGATACTGAGATACTGACTGGGTCTCTCAGGTGCAGGGGGTGGATGGGGGACCGGGCAGGGACTGGGGTCTGGGTGCTCACTTTGGGCTTGGTGCTGCGCTGTAGGACGTCCAGGAGCTGTCTGCGGAACCCCTCCAGCTGGGAAAGGCCAATCCTGGGGGACGGTGCGAGATGGGGAGTTAGCAGGCTTGCTGGGGCCTGGGAAGGGGCCACCCAGGGAGCTGGGATCTGGGGTGAGGAAGGAGAACTGCCCAGCAGGGGACTTGCCTGGGGACAAGGTCCTTGCCCAGGACTACGGCAGTCACAAACTCCTTGGAGTACTCCATTGCGTCCTCACTGTCAGGGAAGCCAAGGTGAAACTAAGGTCGGGGAGGGGACAGTGGTGTCCACCACCCTGGGGCTCGATTTGCCAGGGAAGACTTGGGACTCCAACCCAGTGTGAAGAACCCCATGTGACCCAAGGCAAGTCTAAAGCCCAAGCCCCCGCCCTGCCTGGCCCTCAGCTCCCTGAGACTCCAGGCTGCTCACCTCAGCAGGCCCCCTGGGGGTGAGTAGGCATAGCACTTAAGGGTTGGATATTGCGGGCGTAGGAGGAAGGAAAGGATGGCGGCTGTCCCAGCGCCCAAGGAGTGGCCCACCACAATCAGGCCGTAGTGCTTGGTCCCGCGGCCCTGGGGACCAAGAGAAGCCTTAGTCCACGACTTGCCCAGCATCCAGTCTCAGCTGCCAAGGGGTAAGGCGTCCTCCCAAAGTCCTGGGAGAGGGTCTGTGTGGCTACTTTAGCCCCACAGAGCAGCCTCTGAAGGACCCTGTTCTAACAAACTCCTACTCATCCTTGAAAGCCTTGCTCAGAGGTCACCTCCCTAGGGAAGCCTTCCTGGATTTTCATTTCTCTGAGGCACTGCGTTTGGACCTGGGATGGATGTTCTGACCACTACAGTGACATAGTGTAGGATCGTTACTTGGCTGTCTCCCTATCCCTACACCCCAATATCTAGACTCGGCAGCCCCTGCCCAGGGCAGGTCCGTGGACTCAGATGGCTCCAGTCTGAGCAGGACACTGCTGTGTGCTGGCGGCTGTTTCTCTGTCCCCCTGCTCTGACTTGGAGCTGTTTCTCCAGGACGTTTCTTCCTGACAGAGGACTCTGTAGTGACGGGGCTTTGAATACCCAGGCTGAACCATCACTGTGCCTCCAGGGAATCAGAGATCACAAGACTGTGTGGGAGCCTGATCTGGGGCACCCCTTCCCACCCTTCCTCCTCCACAGTGGGGAGCGGTTGGTGCTCCAACAAAGCCTCACCAGGTCCCGCCCGAAGGCCTGCGATAGGACCATTTCCTGCTCCAGTTTCTTCTTGATGTACTCCGCCGAGAGGACCATGCCCTGAGCAAGAGCAGACAGTGCTGAGGAGGGCTCGGCGGGACGGGGCTCACCCACCCTGGCTGGCCTTTGTGACAGCCTGGAATGAGGGGCCCACAGCACGCATTTCACAGAGGAGAAAACTGAGGCGGAGAAGCATTCTGTGTGTGATACAAACACGTGTGAACTCTTCTGGGGGCAGGGTCTGGTTGGAAAGGCCGCGGGAGCCTGCAGACGGGCCGTGTGGACCTTCTGGGCTAAACCAGGACTCTGGTCAAGTGCTTGGTGAAGCCTGAGAGCAGGTACGATCCCTGAGCTATAGGACCTGTCCCCGTGCTGATGAGGGCCCCTGAGGTGGGAAATCCCTGAGCTACAGGAGTCATCTGCATGCGGAGGGGCGCCCATGAGGCAGGTACCTTGTGCCCCAGCCAGGTCCCGTGGTGCCCCTCCACGGGGAGGCGCTCAGCATCACCAGTGAGATCAGTCAGGGCATCCTGGGCGAGCGAGAAGGGACAGGTGAGGGGTCGCTGTTAGCATGTCCCCAGAGGGAGCTGCGGGCCCCCTGGGTAACATACCTTAGGAGACAGGGTTCCCCGGATGCTGATGACCACCTTCTTCTTCTCATGGTCCACTGCCACGTAGAAGGGGGTTTCGTAGACCTAAGAGGCAGGCAGCTCATGAGCCAGGGTGGGCTGTGGGGCAGGGACCTAAATAAGCCCCCTTTCCAGCTAGGATGTCTGACTCCAGGGCCCCTGGACCCCCGAGGCTTGCACAGGCCTTCCTGGAACAAGCCCTGCCCACCCTGCCTGATGGCATCCAGTGGACCCAGGCAGTCCAGCCCCCAACACCCCCCCCCCTCCAGTTACACGTTCCCTCCCCCACTGCTTCTTCCCTGGGCCACCATCCCCCAGTATGGTGGGACAAGGAAACCCACTCCTGGTCCCAGAGGAAGTATGGGCCAGGGTGCAGGGAGTAGGGGTCCACTTCTGGTCTGCTTACTTGGAGGAGGCCTGAGGCTGCCTGTTCCAGTCTTTAGCTCCTGCTTTCTGGCCTTGGGGCAGCCTGTCTGTCCAGCCCTGCCTGCTCCCCACGGTCCTCTGTGCCTGACTCACCGCGTCGTGGCAGGAGGTGTAGACGATGTCCACAGCGGTCATGTTCTCGTCCAGGAAGTGGCGCCGGATAGCGATGGCATTGCAGCCACAGCAGTTGTCCTCCTCGATAGTGACTCCGGGGGCGAACCGGGGCCTCGCGGGACACAGGCAACACCTGGGTGTGCAGTGACGCTGAGATCAGGCAGCGCTGGGGGCAGCAGAAGAGCAGTTTCCCCTCCCGACATCCCTGACTACGTCCCTGGTGAGCCCATCTCCTAACCCACTGTCAGCCCCACCTGACTTCTCTGACCCTGTGGAAGGTCCCTCCTCCCTTGGGTGGAGGCACCGTCTTGGTTGCAAGGTGATTGTAATTCAGCCAGAGGATGCCTTAGAAGAAAAGTCCTGGTGATCCCCTTCCCCAAACTCAGCCACTCTGAAAACCCTAGAGAACAGGAGTGCCCTGGCACACAGGGGCCGCCATGACCTCAGGTCTCCATGTTGGCTGTCAACAACCTACGCTAATGAGTCCCCTGTAGACATGCCCCTGACTTCCACACTTATCTCCAACCGCTTCCTCAACATCTCCACTCCAACATCCGATAGGATCAGAACGTTTCCAGGCCTGCACCCCACACTGACCCCCAGCAGCTCAGCCCCTCTCACATCCAGTCCAGCTGTTCAGTACATCAGCTCGGCCTCCCAGTTCAGGACACTCTGTCTCCACCTCCACCTGGACCAGGCCGCCATCCTCTCTGCCTCCTGAAGGCTCTCCCCGACACATACTTGACCCAAGTTCTCAACTCAGCAACCCAGAGGCCCTACTGAAATTCGAGTCAGATTATATCACTTCTCCAAACCCGACTTGCCCATTGTAAAAGCTTCTGAATCCTTCCCGCCTGGTCCCATTCCTGACCCCCCCCCCCCCCCCCCCC